ACCAATCATAAAATTATTGACGGAGCGAAATCGAAGCATGGGACCCTGGTGCTCTAAAATTCTCGAACGCATGGGGAAATTGATTCCTCCACTTAGCAGGGTGGTTAAAAACGGCGCCAGACGAATCAGCACACCACCCTCTACTCAGGCGAGTCACTCTTCACAGCCCCAAATCAAATATGTTTGCCATTTTAACCACTAATTATGGGCATTTTCGCCCGTTGATTTGTATGGTGGCTTGCCTATGTGGACAGGAATATGTGCAACTATCTTCTTAGTAGCAGTGCTTCCCAACAGCCTGCTCAAGTGACAAATATTTGACCAATGTCATTGAGGTGCATGCCCTGGTAAAGCACGACGTGGTGATCCATTTCGCGCGATGCGCCGCTGTTTCCCAGTCAGGCGCGGGGTGTGGGAGGGCAGATGGCGAGTCCGCCCAGCAGCCCGCCGGCCCGGGCCGACGACGCGGCAGCAGCTGATACGCGATCGAAGTCGGCGCCGGCGCGCTGGCCCAGCTCAAATTAGCCTCCCGTATGCCGCCTGAGGTCGGCGGGCTGCGCCACGCTCCAGACGACTCCCATGCCTCCCGTATGCCGCCTGAGGTCGGCGGGCCGCGCCACGCTCCAGACGATTCCCATGCCTGCCGTATGCCACCTGAGGTCGGCGGGCTGCGCCACGCTCCAGACGACTCCCATGCCTCCCGCATGCCACCTGAGGTCGGCGGGCTGCGCCACGCTCCAGACGACTCCCATGCCTGCCGCATGCCCCCTGAGGTCGGCGGGCTGCGCCACGCCCCAGAGGACTCCCATGCCTCCCGTATGCCACCTGAGGTCGGCGGGCCGCGCCACGCTCCAGACGACTCGCATGCCCCCCGTATGCCGCCTGAGGTCGGCGGGCCGCGCCACGCCCCATAGGACTCCCATCCGGCGCTCGAGTGCCGTCCGACACGGCGGCGGCCCGACGCGCCAGTGACCTCTGGGAAGGGCGTGTACGACTCGGGGCGTGTGCGAAGCCCGGGCAGAAGGGGGCATTGCGGAGCGTCACACCAGCGACTTCAGAAGTGCCGTTTTCAGCTAATGGAGCTGGTGCTCCCGGGTATACAAAACATATCCGTGACCTTGCTGCTTGCTTGGCAGCAGTGCCATCCACTCAAGCCAAAACACTGGCCTGTTTAACGTTGTCCGGCCCATTCAATCGTCCCTATTAATGAGCGACAATACAGTCCGGACATTAATACAAATAGGCATGACTGGCGCTATCTGGCCGGCACAGCTTCGAACTCCCCGCCCCGACGGCCGCTGTCGGAGGTCCACCCGAGCTCCCAGCCCCGGCGGCCCCTGTCGGAGCTCCACCCGAGCTCCCAGCCACAGCGGCCGCTGTCGGAGCTCCATCCGAGCTCTCAGCCACAGCGGCGGCTGTTGGAGCCCCGCCAGAGCTCCCAGCCACAGCGGCCGCTGTCGGAGCCCCGCCCGAGCTCCCAGCCACAGCGGTCGCTGTCGGAGCTCCACCCGAGCTCCCAGTCACAGCGACCGCTGTCGGAGCTCCACCCAAGCTCCCAGCCCAGCGGAGTCCCGCCCACCGGCGACGCTCCGCCGTCGCAGTCGCGCCGGTCGGCACGGTCAGCGTGCCGTCAGTGTTTGTTCAGCGGCCCTCGTGTAAACCAAACGAGCAGCCGCGCGGGGCCGGCCGGCCGTCCGCGGCGCCCCGCCGCCGGCCGACCTCCCCCCGCGCCCCGGCCATGGGGCACCGGCCGTGACGTCCTGCCAGGGGCGCCTCCTGCCACGCCACCTGGGACCGGCCGGTCAGCGACCGCCCGTCTGACCTGGCACTCGAAACAAGCCCCGGGTGTCTGAGGGTGAGCATCACTCGGTGGGCCGGAGCCGGCAGCTGCACACTGCACGCTCTCCACCTGCGCCTCCACAGACCGCGACATCCCCGCAGGGTAACACGGTCGGACGGCCGGTGCTTACGGCCGGCAGGCCGGCAGGGTCGGACGGCCGGTCCGCCCGGTGCCTACCAGCAGACACAGCAGACACTATTCGGACATTCTGCTCATTAGAGCTGTCTTGTCCGCTAGTTATGGCGGCCCGCACCCCCTGCCGTAGTACCATGCAGCGAAGCCATCCGGCCACACGCTATTTGATCCTAGCTGCATGCGTCTTCGAACCATAAATAAGGCAATTCTGTTGACACGTTTTATTCGGTTTATGAATTACTTGGAAATAAAAAGTTTGTGTCAAACTGGCCTTTTCCCGGCTCGTACACTTGAGCAGGGCCGTTCAAAAAGCGAACAGGTTAAAAGATTCCCTTCACGACAGCGACACTCACCCATGGACCCACGTTGGGCCGGGTCTCGGGTCTGGCTGCAAGCGATGCAGTGACCAACGGGGCTGCGGTGTCGTGGCTGGCCCCGCCCGGAGCTGGCACCAGCGCCGCCGTACTGCGCGGACACCGCAGCCGGCCGGCCGTCGACACATCGTGACAGTGCGGACCGGCGTCAGACACGCTCGGACGAACCCGACGCCGGGCGCCACGGAGCCGCGGACACCGCCGGACCCGGGCACGGACCGGCAGATCCATGAGCGCCACGAATGGAAAAGTTCACGAAAACAGGCCAGACGAGCAGCGAATGGACACGACATGCGCCTAAATAGTTTACGCCTTTGCGTCAAAGTTGTCACCATGATAAATCTCCGCACAAAGCCCTTTGGAGACAGGACATCCGCACGGAGTGAAACATAAAAGTGCTACCAAGCAAGAGAACGTGTCTGTGGGAGGCGTCAGGCTGGCGAGCCGGCTTCTCCAGCGCGCGCCGCCCCGACCAACCGCCGCTGGACAGCTGGGTCCCCGGCGACTTCAGCCGAAAGCGCTGGGAATCCTGTGAGCCTCCGGAACGCTCTGCGGGACGGCTGCGGCACCGACGATAGATCAACATCGACACGCCTGATGCCGAGCCCGAGGCCGCCGTGGGCCAGACTTGCTCGGCACACCGCCCATCTCTTGTCAGTTCCACGACGGGCCGACGGGGACTGGCCACACCCGACCACTGCGTTGCTGCTTGGCGTTGTTTTTTTTCCTCGACAATTTGAACCAGCAAAGGATGCCTTTTTCTGCCGTAGATCTTCCCGGATAATCAGCAACCCGTAATCTCGTCGGTATTAATCACGTTTGGGTAAATTTTAAATGTTTGAGAATGCAGGCTAGACCAGCCCGCTCGAACGCTCGGTATTAAACATTTGCATGGCATTTTCTGGAAAACACCAACGTTGCGGATTCTTATTAGGTTTAGAGTTTTTCAGTTACTAGGTCTTCTTATATTTCAACGATCATCATAAAATACAATTTTCGAACTCACCTACCTGAACAGGCCATGTCTGGCGAAATATGATGACTTGCGCCTTATTCATGGCACTTTATTCTAGTTTGGGACTGCGATCATGAGTGTACGACATGTGATGGAAATCCTGGATCGGCTCACTCGGCGGAGGAGCACCAAAACCATCACTTCGTGGCACCCGAGCATTCATTTTCTCGAGGCGTTCGCTGTGCCTCCTACCCCGACAGTATTCTGGATTGGCACGTTCTTCGCCGTTCGGCGAAAGTACGGTAAAACCCTTAAATTTGTGCAATCATAACCAAAATTTTCCTTCCAGAAGCATCCCCTTTGAGAGGGCACCACAGCGGGTCACCAAACCTTCATTTTCACGCGACAACAAATTCCAGGAGAACCTCAGCATGCCAGTCGCTCCATTGCCGAAATACTGAATCGGATCTCCTGTGCAGCCCCTCCCCCAACACACGGAATTTGGGCAACCAGTGAACGCATCATTCCGTGGCCACCTGCAGCCAGATCCGCAAATACAGCCGGTCCCAGCCGACTCGTGCCGCTCCTGTACTATCGGTCCCAGCTGGCTGACGACAGCTGGCTGCTGGCTGTGTCTGCCGCCTGATGCTGCGGAGCGGTGACCGTGGATCGAGCCGCCCGCCGGCCGGCCAGCGCTGCGGACCCGCGCACAGACAGCCTGTCCGTCACAGACGCCGTCGACGCCGTCCTGGCTGTGAGGCGCTCGTGGCCTCTCTGATGCAGACTCGCGTGGCGTCAGTGCCGGGCCGAGTGAAGCCAGGGTGGCCGGGTCCCACACGATCGGAGAAAAAGGGGCGCCATTGCCCGTCCACAAAGCGTCGGGCACAGCGCTGGCGGCGGCATCGATAAAGCCCGTCTGCGAGTGGCCACTGGCGCCGCCCGGTCAGGCCGCGGCGCGCCACTCTCGCCGCACTGTTCACCACTCACGCCGCACCTATGCCGACCCAGTTAGACAGGTGGGCGCCGGTCGTTCACCGCCGGCCCAGGGACGCCGCTCCCCTCCACACGCCACCGACGCCGCCGGCGCCGGCGGCCATTTAAACGCGCCGGCGACACGCCCACCTCCAGGGAGCAGTGGTGGGGGGACGACCTTCTAACCCACCCGCCAGTGCCAGACGGGTCGCGCGGTGAATCACGCGCGGCCGCGGCGAGACGGCGCCGTCCGGTCTCGTGTCGCCGAGCTCGGTTATGGACGGGGTAGCCCCTCATGGCTGCTCTGACCGGTTATGGCCAGCCGGCTTTTCGCCTCAGCCCGCCCGCGCGCCGCAGGGGTTGGGGCGGCCGGGGCAGCAGATGCAACGACCGCGTGCGGCGACTAGAACCCGGTGAAAACGGTCGATAGAGCAACCGGTGCGACCTGACAACCATTAGCAATTCGAAAACATACGACGACGACTCACGCCTGTGCGACACGAGACAAGCGATCACGAGACGTCCACCCCAGGGATGGCAAGCCAAATCACCGGCAATCATTGGTTTACCTCGTGAGGATCCGTCTGGACGCGCGCGAGTGGAGGCGCGCCGGGGCCACACACCCCTTCGCGGCACAACACCCGCCTCCCCGACACCACCGCCACACTCAGCACTTGTTCAAAAGCTCCCAGCCCGCAGCCACGTCTTGATCGGGTCAACTCACGGGTTTCTCCGGCGGCCTGCGCCGCGTCTATTTCCGTCGCTGATTCACTGTGGCGGCTGCTCGACGGCCACTCCCGGGCGACGTCTGGGGGCGGCGGCGGCGTCCGATGGCGGCGCTCGGCTCGGGTGCGGCTCCGCCCTCCCTCGGCCAGTCCCGCCGCACCGCTTTGCCGCGCCGCGCCGACGGCAGCTGCTGTACGGCCCCTGACAGCGTGGCCTGCCGCCCGGCCGGCGTCGCCGCGCCCGGACGCGATGTCGGCGAGTGTACGGGCGCCGGGGACGGTCGATAGAGCGGCAGAGCCGACGCCCGGCGCGGCGCGGCGTCCCAGCCCGCCCGCCGGCCGGCCCACGGTTCGGTCGACCGCCGGCCCCGTTGGGGGGGCGGCAACCGCCCAAAGTACCGGCGTCCGTGTGATCGCCGGCCGTGCGCGAGGTGGAGCCGCAGGCCGCTCAACTGATGCACGCCAATAGCTGGGATGACTTGTTAGTGGAGTGGCCTACCCGGGGTGGCGCCCGCAACACGGACGCGGAAACGATGCATATGGCGCAGGACAAAAATATAGGCTCAAGGACCGCCTCGTGGTAACGCACCCAAACAGTTCTAGAGCGGAAAATTTCAAATTTCAAAACGTTTGATTCGCCACGAAACGGAAATGAACTGGTACATTTAACTGCCACCCCAGTCGATGGACCATAAGCACTTCCGGCCGGAGACGGTCGAAGTGCGAACCAGAGCGGCGGCGGACGCGTGGCCCATCTCAGCTGTTAGATCGGACGCGTGGCCCATCTCAGCTGCTAGATCGGACGCGTGGCCCATCTCAGCTGCTAGATCGGACGCGTGGCCTATCTCAGCTGTTAGATCGGACGAGTGGCCCGTCTCAGCTGTTAGATCGGACGAGTGGCCCCTGTCAGATAGGACGAGTGGGGGGGCCCTCTCAGCTCCTAGATCGGACGGGTAGCCCGTCTCAGCTGCTAGATCGGACCGCGTGGCCCGCCTCAGCTGTTAGATCGACGACTGGCCCGTCTCAGATGCTAGATCGGACGAGTGGCCCTGTTAGATCGGACGAGTGGCCCCTGTTAGATCGGACGAGTGGCCCGTCTCAGCTCTTAGATCAGACGAGTAGCCCATCTCAGCTGCTAGATCGGACGCGTGACCCATCTCAGCTGTTAGATCGGACGCGTGGCCCATCTCAGCTGTTGGATCGGACGCGTGGCCCATCTCAGCTGTTAGATCGGACGCGTGGCCCGTCTCAGCTGTTAGATCGGACGCGTGGCCCATCTCAGCCTGCTAGATCGGACGCCGTGGCCCATCTCAGCTGTTAGATCGGGACGAGTGGCCCCGTCTCAGCTGTTAGATCGGACGAGTGGCCCGTCTCGGCTGTTAGATCGGCGGGTGGCCGTCTCAGATGTTACATCGGACGGACTGGCCCGTCTCAGCTGTTACATCGGACGACTGGCCCGTCTCAGCTGTTATATCGGACGAGTGGCCCCTGTCAGATCGGACGAGTGGCCCGTCTCAGCTCTTAGATCGGGCGCATGGCCCGTCTCAGTTCTTAGATCGGACTAGCGGGCGGTGGGTTCGTTGGCGGCGAGAACTGATTTATTTTACGTTCTTGTTAGGAGAGGCGCTTAGATTTGGGCATTCCGTCTCTGCGCCAATCCATCCATCACGTCACATACTGCATTATGTTCGCAATCGGAAATAAAGAGCATCGGCACAAGGCAAATCACGTCACATACCGCCACAGAGTGACCCAGGCACAGAGCGTCCTTCCTGTGACGCCAAGCGCGCAGGCCAAGCCCTACTGTAGTGCGGTTTATGCCCGGTTCACCGTCTATCTGGCGTCGCCAAACTGACCCGCTGGTAAGCACGTCCCAAAACTTATCACGTCAACAGCGCAATTCATCGACATTCATTTCAGACGTGGTTCCAGCTCTCCCGAACGGGCTGAACTGGCTGTGACGCCTGCAATACAGAACAGGTCTGCATCACATGCACGTCCACAAAACAAACGTTGCCGTCCACCACAATTTGAGCCGTTCGTGGACATGACAGAGAAATCGCCAAGCCCCGGACACTCATTGATACCATGCATTCCCATGTGGTTTTAATGAATCAAGTGACGCCCGTCACTGACATGGCGCTATATTTGGATGATGCCCACCTAAAACCGAAGGCAGAGCTGTACTCGCACAGCCGTACAGCCACGCCTCGGATCAAATTAGGTCATATGCATAGCAGGTCACGAAGGGCAGGTCACCAGAAAAAGCACAGTTTAGAAATGTCCCGTCGCATAAAAACCGTTAAATGTTGGAAGACAGAGAGGCAGAGGCAGAGGCAGAGGCAGAGGCAGAGGCAGAGGCAGAGGCAGGGGTAGAGATAGAGAGAAAGAAAAAGTCAAGTTCAATTTCAAGATTTTTCAATAGCTCTGAGACCAATTCAGTACTACAAGGTACATCAATTTTTTCATCAAAAGATCCGCTGGTCCATTGCCTGCAGTTATGCAAAATTTGCCACAGCAGCGCTGCGCCATTCGGAAATTATGCTGTGAAAAACCTTCCGGGGCCGCATCGATCCCAATCCGAGCGCGGGCCAAAGAAGCCTTAAACGCATATTCCACCATCGCCCATAACACCATGAACGTCCGTGGTCGTAGGAATCTCCAGTAGTTAAGCAGCACAATTACGAAACGTAATTTTCTTGTGATCATTATAGGGCATCGTGGAGAAAATGGTGTTGTATATCTGTATAAACATCTTATTATGTTGCCTTCTCTACTTAATATCATAAGTTCACTTCATTTCAGCTTTGCTTTGGTAATTATCCAGACTCTGACCAAAAACTCAAAGAAAGATCACAGCTTGCTTATCTCAATATGCCTCCCATATCCGTGGCCTGGTGGTCTGGGGAAAATGTTGGACAGCGCCAGCGGCACTGGGTACGAGTCCAAGAGCGGGCATATTGCTTTCCCGACTAGAGTGAAAGGGCCAGCTGGCAACTGGTCAAGGGGGTCAACCCAGGTTCGGGGCAGGCGTGCCGCAGCGTTGTGTGGCGCGTAAAATCCTGCGCATTCCTGCCTGGCGAAAGGGCGGAGGCAAAACCAGCCGTTTATTTGGACAGCACGACTTGGGTGGCGGTTTTAGGGTTGCAAACAATGCGTTTTGCTTAGAATGCACTCTGAGCCCAGCAGCTACCATGCAAGGCCATGCGGAAAAAATATTTAAAACATATTCCAGAAATCATCCCAAGGAAGAGGCGCGTAATGGGATTCGCACCCCTTTCCACGGTATAACTTTCTATATAAGACGACTGGATAATAATATTTGACCAAAACGCACCGGCCAATATCAGAAAACAACGGATTTGTTTTCACATTTGAAAATTAACACGCGCCCGGGTGGCCGGCTGGGTATCCTTCGGTCGCAAGGGGGGTCAATTTGAACCCGCTGAGATCTCGGGAACTGATCACGCTAGAGACACCAAATTCACAGGGTGTGTTGACCTGTACGTGAACTCACTTGGGTCAAAGTTTAAGCTTCCTAAGTGATGACCTTCAGGGTCAAAAAGGTCAAACAAGGTCAAATTCCAAGTTGGTCTACAAAGTGCCCCCCCGAACCTAGATAAGCGTTCCTAAGCCAAATGTCGCACGCTCATTTAAGGTCAGTGTTGTTTGACCTTTTGAAGGTCATGGTGACCAAAATAATGCAAGACTGCTATGAGCTTTGCTTTTGAATAAGCGACAAAGATTACACTAGACAGTATGCTCCTGAAAACCAAATGTTGGCCTGGGTCCTTTCACGTCAGTGACCTTTTCTGACCTCTAAGAGGTCCATGGAAGATATAGTATGCGGTTGCTGGTATCGACAGATTCGAAATGAGCGCCAGAAACTGTCTCATACAGCAAGCCCCAGAGTAATAAAACAGGATGGTTTTGACCTTGATCTGGCCTTCATACATGACCTTAGGTCAATTCAATTTGCTCATTTAATTGTTGTGTTGTCTAAGAAAGCATCTGAGTGATGTATGACTTTGTCTAACACTCCATTGTTGCAGCAGATTGAACGATTCTCTAGCAATTGCCTTCGCCGAAACCATGGCCTGACTTCGACCTGCCACAGGTCAGCAACCTTACAAGAAACATCTAAATTTTTGACAACAAACGATCCGCTATTCAATTGCCTACAGCTATGCAAAATTTTGCGCGGTTACGCGCGCCATTTGGAAAACGTTTTGAAAAAACCTTCGGAACAATTTGATCCCCCAACTCAGCGAGTGTTAAATGACTACGGCCAGTATGCCCCAGGGTCCCAAAGATGGCACTGATCGATGATTGATGGACGAGGCAGCTGATTGTGGGTGAATTCCTGGTTGTGGTAGAAAGAAAAAGGTTAGGTTAAGGAAGGTTGAGTTAAATCATAGGGAATTGTCACCACTAATAGGTTAGTAACATCATTTGTTGTTGAGTGGCTCAGCAACAAAAAAATAACTATGCTCCTGACATGGTGCCAGTTACTGAGAGCATTGTGTGTTGCTGACGTTGCTCGGTCCTAATTATCATGGGATAAATTGGTAAAAATATGGCACAGTATGCTGAAACTATGTATGGGTGAACACATGGAAAAACTTGATAAGTAATTATCCTTGCAAATTTTTACTGTGGGTGATGACACTAATTTCAGTGCATCAAGACTGCAGACATGTGCCAGGAACCCCTTAAAAAGATCCCAGGATCCTATCAACATGGTATCTTAAGGGAACACATACCATCATAAAATGGTCTACCTAAAATATTTTTGAAGATATTTGTATGGCATTTTGAACTGGGAACAGTCTTTTTACAGTTTACTTCATACAGTTTATAGCCCTGCCATTATTAAGACCTAAACCACTCCAGTTTCTGAGCAAAGCACCCACAAATAAGTGCAGACTTTTTTCAGGTCACCCAGGCAGCCATAATGCCACAATAGCATCATTCAAACCTTGTCACTCCACAGGTCATAACAAACTGAGTCATGCTTTGTTTTCATGTGTATATTGAATCTCGTATGGGTATGTGGAGTGTATTCATGAACATGATTTCACTACCATCAATAGGCTCTCAGTCAATGCTGTGCAAGGTAAAACTGTGTGATCAAACAATGTCATATCAAG